GAATATCACCAAAATATAATTATTTTTCAAATAATATTATTTATATAAAATGAATATATTTTAATATTAATATGAAGTTGGGGATTTGTACAACAATTTTCTTCATTAAAATAGTTGCTTTTTTTTCCTACATATATTTAAGACTATATAGTCAACATTTATACATCTGTCTTCCTCCTAATACCCCTCACTCACAATGTATAGAAATTTTCAGATTAATCTACATAGATAACACTTTAAATTTGACCAAACTCTTCAACGCTTGAGCTATGCTGCCATCTTACATCACTTGCGTGTAGCACACTTTTCAGAGTTGCAGCAAGTGAGTATGGGTATGTGTGTGTGTGTGTGTGTGTGTGGTGGAAAAAGCAACAAATGCTTCTCACTCAACTATGAACGACGTTTAAGCTGCTTGAAAACGACTCGCTCTGTGGCTGTGGCATAGCAAACTTAAAGTGTGGCTGGCCCAAAAAAAAAAAAATAAACAAAAAGGGAGTTGTAACAGGAAAGTGGGCGTGTCGTTGAGGATAGAGGCAGCATTTAACGAACGCAAAATGTCGACGAATGGCCGTGGGCCCTGAGCAAAGTGTATACGCAACAGAAATCAGCACGGCACGGACATGTTTGCATGCATAAATAGCAAAGGACATGGGCAAAGGACGCACTATGTACGACTCTGTGCATGTATATGTGTGCGTGTGTGTGTGTGTGAAGTTCTAAGCACACTTACACAGACACAACGACAGAAACTACAACAACAAGTTATGGTTATTAATTTTGCGTATGCAGCAGGCAGCAGGCAGCTGGCAGGAGGCAGCACAGGAAGGACGAGCTTAAGCTGCCGTCCATGTCGTAGCAGGACATGGGCGACTGCTGCAATCCGCTTTGCAAAGTGTTGGTCACAGGATTTACTACGCAAGCAACAGAGCAAAGTGTCTGATTTATGTGTATGTGTGTGCGTGTGTGTGAGTGCGCCCTAAAAGGCAGCCGCAATATTTTAGCTGTTGGCCAAGTGGATATACATGTATGTATGCATATAAGAGAATGTGCCAAGCGCCCGTTTCATGCTAAATTATTTTATCTAACAAGTATACGACATGTTTCCGCATGTTGTTTATAGCCCCACACTCACCGTCAAATTGTTATCCGATAGGTCCAAATGCTTGAGCGAGATGAGACCCTCAAAGGCGCCCACATCCAGTTCGCTCATCACGTTGCCCCGCACGCTGAGGGCGAGCAGCTCCTTGAGGCCCTCGAAGCTATCGTTGCGCACAAACTCCACCAGATTATCGGACATGTCCAGGCTCTTGAGCGCATGCAGATGCCACAGATTGCTAGCCGGCACATCCAATAGCCGATTGTTGCGAAACACGAGCACCTCCAGCGACATCATGCCTTTGAAGCAGTTATCCTCCAAGCTCACAATATTGTTGTTGGTCAGGTCGAGTTCCACCAGCGCCGCCAGATCACCCAGCGCCGTGGGATGCACAGTCTCGATGCGATTGTAGCTGAGATCCAGCAGCAGCAGATTGGTCAAGCCCTTGAAGGCATGCTTATGCAGTGCACTGACCAGATTCCTGCTCAGGTTGAGGGTGCGCAGCTCCGTTTGGTATTCGAAATTCTTGGAGCCCAGCGTTTCGATGATGTTCTGCGAGAGATCCAACACCTCCAGTTTCATGTAGAAGGGCAGCGTGAATTCCAGATTCCGTATGCGATTCAGTGTTAGATTTATGTACTTTGTTTCCGGATTGAGCTGAATGGGCACATCCTCCAGTGCTGCGTCCACGCACAGGGCGCGACTGTTCGCATCGCCGCCCAGGCATTGACACTTTGAGGGGCAGAAGGCATCGATGCGGCCAGGTAACAGCAGCAGCAGCAGCAGGAGCAGGGGCAGAGTTGCTGTTGTTCTGCTGGCCAGAGATGGAGGCTTGCTATCCTGTCGCCACTTTGTGTGTGAGTTAAATTTGTTGGAGTTGTTGTTGTTGCTGTTGTTGCTGTGTGTGTCGGTTTCCATTTTGTGGGCTGTTCAATTGCGCCTTAACGGCCGTTGGTATGCCTGTTGTTGTTGTTGTCTCGCTTCTAGTTGCTGCTGTGGATGTTCCTGTTGCTTGGGGTGCAGAATCACCAGTTATTGGACGTCATGGCTGACACAGAGTGCTGCATGTGCTAAAGCAGAGAGAGGGAGAGGGAGGGAGAGAGATAAAAGATATTAGTTAATTAATTTTATATATATATAAATACATATACATACAAACTTAAGCTTAAGCTCTATCTTATTAAGAGTTTAGAGTATTGTAGGACTTTCTCGTCTAAGCACTTTATAAATATGCATTGGATATATTCTTTAAAGTACATCTATGTAGCAGCCTATGCCAAGTCTAAGATGCTTTGCATAAAATAACTTTTTTTTTCTATTTTTTACTCCATACACACATTAGCAGAAACTGCCGGCATTTGTGCGCTGTGAACGCCATAAAATGCAGCAGAGCTAACTCAACTCAATATCATTTTCATTTCCCAGTTAGCTCAACGCTCGCCGTCTGGAAACTCAGCAACTTTCTGTGCGAGTTGTCAGCACTTTTGGCCGTTCAAACGAGTTTTGACTTGTGCTTTGGCTCAGGTCGCTCTAGACTTTTATGAAATATTAGCGAGCAACTTATGCGCATAAATCTTGCGGCGTGTCTAACAAAAAAGAAAAACTGAAAATAAGTAAAATAAGTAAAATTGCGAGTGTGTTAAATAAACTGGCAGCAGCCGCAAAAGTTTCGTTATATACCATAAAAAAAAAGATGAAAACGAGAAACTCTTTAAGGGCGCTGATTTCCATATTAAATGTAATATAAATATTTATTATGGCACAAGATAATTGCCAAGTTTTCAAATTTAAAAAGTGTTGCATACTTTCCAGCTGGCTGCTCTAAATGATTGAATAACTTTCTATTGCCTACTTTTGGGCTCATAATTTAAATATTTGCCCTTTGGCCAACACGCAATTAAGTAATTGACAAATTACTTGCAGACAATTTATTGGCTGTCTGTCTGTTTGTCTGTCATTTGCATATGTCAGGCGCAAACACACTCACACACACGCCTCGTCTCATTAAAGAAATCCCCTCAAGCACACGCCAGCAATTTGCACAATGCTCTTAACTAGCTGTAAAACAAATAATAAAAGCATAGCGCAAACTTTTGAGGTTTCATTCTGTCAACAAAAGTTGAAGCCTCACACTCACATCACACACACACACACTCACGCACGCCAACTACTTTTGCTCTCTTTGGCAAATTTTCTTTGTTTTATTATTATTTTTTTTTTTTGCTCTTGTGGCTGCGCAGTTTTTGGATCATATTTTACGCTTCAATAAAATTTGGTAAAAAACAAGAAAAGGCAAGCAGCGTCAACTAACCAACCAATCGCGCCTCCTCCACTCGACTCGAGTGAGGGCTGGGGGTAGGGCCTGCTTGTCAACCCCCTGGCCCACAGCGGCAACAAAAAAAAGTGAAAATTGTGAAAAATTCACTCCTGTGTGAATTATTAAGTTTCRCATGGCCATTGTTATTGTTGTTGTTGTCGCTCCTGTTGCTTTTTGTAACACTGTGTGCGTGTGTGTGTGTTTGTGTTTTTGTGTGTTCGGCACGTGTGTGTGTGTGCTTGTTTGTTTGTGAAAAAAAAAAATAAAGCAAAAGGCACACAAAGTTTTTAATAAACTTTCGCACGCCAGCCTCACTTGACTATAGTCAAGTCCCAGTCGACGGCCTCCTCTTCCTCTGCTCCCCCCGCCACTCCTTGCTCTTTGAGCGCCTGCTCCTCGCCATCAACTTTCGTCGCGTACATATACCCTAAGTGGGGGCGTGGCACTCTGCCAGGGCACACAAATATGATTTCATTGTGGCAAATATTTTGATAGTACGCCATCGCTTGCGGTTGCACGAGCCGGAGCTGTGGAGCTCTGTGTAGCTCTGTGGAGCTGTAGCTGGCGGGTCGAGGCTAGGGTAGTTAAGAACTGCCCTGGGCCATCCAAATTGGAGCGACCTAGCTGAGAGAAGGCGCCGTCAAAGGCCAACAACTTTTCAAAATTGTTGTTTTTGTTGCACTTTCGGCGCCCACTTTTCATTCTGCGGTAGTTTTAATGGGGCCAACATCATCGAAGTTGGCTCTTAATAGGCTTATAAAATGCTTAAATATGTACGTCAACTGCAAGGTGTATGTAAGCCGGCGAGTGACTGGCAATGTGTGTGTGTGTGCGTGTGTGTGTGTGTGCGTGTGTGTGTATATGAAAAGGAAGAAAAGTGCTTAAGTCGACTTATTTCATAATTGAGATATAAATCAAGCTGCTGCTTATAGTTACAAAGGAAGAGTTGCGAGTGGCATAAGAGTTGAAGGGATGGATAACCATTGCTGATAATACGAGTTTAACTTTGCTGATGAAAATATAAATACTTATTGGATATAGAAATGAAAATTCTAACATGAATAACTATTTTGGGAGCAATTTTTGGGTTTATCCTTAAGTAAATATCTTTTTTCAATTATACAATAATTTTATACTTAAAGCACATATTTTATTTAATAAATTTAAATCCAAGTTCTTTTATTTAGCGAGGACATTGACTTTTGCTCAAATAGCATTTACTTTGCATAATATTTTGAGTTAAATTTGACTTTAAATTCGTTTATTTGATTACGGATATATTTGAGCTTATTCACTGAGATTCAACTCATCGATATATCAATACCTCATCAGTAGCCGAAATTGATATCGATATAAATTAATAACTCATCAGTAGCTGAATTTGGTTTCGATATATAAATAACTCAACCATAGCATCTAGCTCTTAAGAACTAAAGAGTTCAAGTAAAGCATGTAATAATCTCACTTAAGGCCTTTGGATTTTAAGAACTTAAGAATTTAAGAACTAAAGCTGAGCATTCAAAAAATATAGAAGTATTGGAATTAGAGTGTTTCTGATACTTGAAGAACAGAAACAGCCACTAAAGATCTCAGTAAGAGTTTCAAGTTGTTAAGAGTTGGAGTGCTAGAAGCTCTTCTAGCAGTTCAAGCTCTTATATAAGAACAAAGTCCACCAAATATGTATATATCTACTATACTATACTATATACTATATTTAAACCAGTGCAAAAACCCAAACTAAGGTTGCACGCTCAACGAAATTCATAGACCTCTCTCTCCCTCTCTCTCTCTGCATCTGTCTCCCTATCTCCAACTCATTCTCGAGCAGCTCATCACATAAGTCTTATCCCAATCCGGCATTCATTAACTTTATAGCGGTATCTTAACCAAAAATTCAAATGCTTTGCCACGCCCACATGGCTGCCTCTACCCGGATTTTATAAGCTTCATTTAATTAAATTGACATTGTTTGCTTGCCTTTTTTTTCGTCAATTTATTTTAATACAAGCGTGACTGGAGAGTACCTGGAACCGAAAGTCTAACTGAGGTAGGCATCCATTTAGAAAGAGGGCCCTGCAGCTGGAGCTGGAGCTGGGAACGAGACGTGCAGTTAAATGTCATAAAAATGGAAAATAATAGCAACTGCCGACAAGGAAGCAGCATCAAATGCTGATAATGGAAAAGCGCCTCCACTCTAAGAGCGAACACCAGCAGCAGCTCCCATTCCAAGACTCTTGCCACGCATAAAACTTTGCACATAAATTTAAAACCAACCATTGAGATGAGTCTGGGAATGAGAGCTGAGCGAGCAGAGGTCGGGACAGAGACTCTGCGTTGACTCTAAGGCCACAAATGGTAAGCGGGTGAGGTCAGGGTTCAGGTTCAGGTTCAGGTTAAGGCTATGGAGGAAGCGAGCAAGCGTAACAATCAAAGGTGAAAAACTTTGCAAACTATGCGAAAGCAAACAGGCAAAAAGTCAATATTAATATTCACTTAGCAAAGGTCCAACAGTGGGGCAGAGCAAGAGGGAGCGAGAGGAGGGGCCAGATGGAGCACCAGAGGGGCAATGGGTGGGATATGCTGACAATGGCCAGGCAAATGCCAAGCAAATTGAAAATGCGACGAAAAACGTGAGACGCGCCAACTTTTCCACCTCAACGTGCCCGAGTGCGTTTATTTTTATCAAGATTAGCATTTGGCTCGTCTGTCAGCCAGCCAGCCAGCYAGCCACTCCTCCTCCGCCTCCTGGCCAACTCGCGCGCGGATCTCAGTTATTGAATAGGCAAACAGAAAAGGCAACGTTGTCGACATGGAGCACAGACAATGCTGCAGATTCCTTGCCTCGATTCCTTAACTCGAATCGCTTTGAAGTGCGGCACGCACAAATTGTCCCTAGCTCTCTAGCAATATATCGCTCTCTCTCTCTCTCTCTCTCTCTATCCCTCTCTCTCAGCGCGTCAAAGATGAATTGTTGATGTCGCCGCTGTCACCAGGCGGCAGTTCCCCATTTGCCGTCTCCTGCTCCCACCCAGCCCGCTCTGCTTGGACCATATAATTGAGTGTCTGCAAAACTTTCAAGTGCCTCCGCTGTGGCAATTTGGCAAAAGCCTTTGCCACAAAATGTTGCCGCACGCATAATTAATGCAATTGTTGGCACAGCCGACACAGCCGTAGACAGAGTTCAGTTGTTTGTTTCGTTGCGTTCTGCTTAGAACTGTTCAGCTGGTCAGCTGCGGGCTGGGGGAGGGACCCTAAAAATTGTGGGCGTGGCAGGCACTTTGTCAGCCTGACAGAGCTAAACGCAAAATTGTGTTCTTTTTAGAGACATTGTCGCATGTTGCATGTTTCTGCATTCCACAGAGCACAAAATGATTTTATTAACTTTTTTTGTTTGTCATTTAAATTTTAAAGGAAACTTAAATTTTCGGATATAAATTTAAGCTATTTTTTCGATCGATACTTAAAATATTATGATAATATTTTTTCTCAAGCTTAAATAAACATTTTTGGTGCTTCAATTTGTATTTAAAATTTACTTTGAATTATTTATTTATTTTATTTTTTTCATTATATTCCAATGAATATATATACGAAAGGCATTGGGTGTTTGAAAAGGAAAATTATTAGAAATAAATACAGTCGAGTCTCGATAATTCGTACCCCGCTAAATCGAAAATCGCGATAAATCGAAAACAAATTCGATGCCCTTGAAGAAATTCGTACTTAATTTTTATCGATAATTTA